TCTAATAGATTGGAAGAGCATAGTCAATGTCACTGAACTGTGCATGTAGAAATTTTTGAAATGGTGTATCTTTGGCTGTGTGTATTTTCACCCAAAAAAAAAGGTTGAGAAGTTAGAGGGTTGACATGTTGTGGGGTTGTTAACCAATGTCATAAAACAATATGTGTACTACTGTTTCATGAGAAACTATTTGTTCTGTAAGCCTTCACCTGAAGTACAATTAAAAAAAAAAAAAATTCTAACAGGTATGTGGTAGTATCTCATTGCAGTTTTAATATGCGTTTACCTATTAACTAATAATGTTGAACATCTTTTCATATGCTTATTTGCCATCCCTGTATAGCTTCTTTGGTAAAGTGTGTTCAAATCTTCTGACCATTTTTTAATTGGGTTGTTTTCTTATTATTGAGTTTTGAGAGTTCTTTGTATGTTTTAGATACAAGTCTTTTATCAGACATGTGATTTGCAAATATATTCTTCTAGTCTATGGCTTGCCTTTTCATTCTCTTAAGTATCTTTCAAAGAGCTGGAGTTTTTCATTTTGATTTAATCTCACTTACCATTTTTTTTCTCTTTTATGGATCATAGTTTTAGTGTCATATCTAAGAAATCTTAGCCTAACCTTAGTTAACAAAGATTTTCTTCTCTGTTTTCTTTCAAAACTTTTATAGTTTTAGGTATTACATTTAAATCTGTGACCATTTTGGGTTAATTTTTGTATGTGATGTGAGCTATGAATTGAAATTTTGTTTTGTTTGAGTATGAATAGCCAAATTATTCCAGGATTATTTGTGTGTACAAGTATTTGTACTGTACAATATTGACATATACTTTCATTTTCCTTGAACAGATACCTTGGAGTATAGTGGCTGCATCATATAGTAGTGTATCTCTATCTGTCCTCTCTATTCTATTCTGTTAATCTGTCTATTTTGATGCCAGTACCACACTGTCTTGATTATTGTAACTTTATAATAAGTTTCGAAGTCTCATAATATAAGTACTCCAACTTTTTTTTTGGCTAAAAATTGTTTTGGTCCTTTGCATTTAAAAGTGAATTTTAGAAACAGCTTGTTAACTTCTTCAGAAAAATCTGGGATTTTTTGGGTATTGCATTGACTCTGTAGATTAATTTGGGGAGACTTGGCATCTTAACAATACTGAGTCTTCTGAACCATGAACATGGTATATCTCTCCATTTATATAGGTATTTTTTAATATCTCTCACCAGTGTTTTGGAAGTTTACTGGTCTTGCAAATCTTTTGTCAAATTTATCCCTGAGAATTTCGGTTTTTTATGCCATTGTAAATGGTGTTTTTTTTAAATATTCAATTTCCAATTGTTTATTGCTAGAATACAGAAATACAGCTGTTTTTGTATATTGCATATTATTTTCATTCACATTCCACTGGCTAGAACTGAACCACATGGCCGCCCCTATTACCAGTTTGTCTGGGATGTGTTACTGTCTAGCTGTCTTTTCAGAAGAAGAGAAAATGAGACTGATGAACAGCCAACTGGTAGCAGCCCAAATATTGACTATATCATGAAAATATTTAGAATTTTAGAAATCCCTTTATTTTCTTTGTAGTATAAAATTTTTTATCATGCAGAAATTTCATTAAGGAATATTTTTTAATTAAAGCAAATCAGTATAGAGGAATAGAATCATTAGTGAAACATAATTAAAAATGTAAGAATTTAATCAAGCATATTAAAGTATTTGCCATTTGATAAAGGTAACATTTCAGAATTGCTGGGATGAGCTTGCAGTTCATTGTAGTTTTACACAAATAATGCACACATTCTATTTTTTTTTTTAACCAACCATGCCCTTCCCCTGCGAGGTATTTTTGTAAGCACCCTATGACAGTTTTTCTTTTTCTTTTCTTTTTTACAGATTGCTGTAATCCTTATGGTAGGGACCTGGTGGTACAGTGGTTAAGAGCCTGACTGCTAACCAAAAGGGCAGCAGTTAGAATCCAACAGCTGCTCCTTGGAAACCCTATAGGGCAGTTCTGCTCTGCCCTATAGGATCGCTATGAGTCGGAATTGACTCGATGGCATTGGGTTTGGGTAATCTTTACAGAAGCAGACTATCACATCTTTCTCCCAAAAATAGCCCTAGACTAAAAGCTGCTCTGGTCCCGCCTAATAAAGCTTAAAAACAAGGCATGGGGGAAAGAAAAGAGAGAGAGATTACATGCCAAAGCAGCTGCAGGGGCTGGCTACATATACTAGATAAGGGAGGGTTTGCCTGGGTATGGTTGATCAAGGGGGCGTGGAATAGAAAGCTAGATAAAACTGTTGAAATGGGGGCATTTTTACAAGACACAGAATTTAACCCTGAGGCAAGGGCTTGGTAGAGGTTCAAATGCACTACACTGGGATGGCTCTAGGAACCTTGGAAGAAGTGATATCCCATATTAAATGAAGTAGAGATGCCAGAACTACTGCAGCAGACTGTGGAGGAGGGATCTAAAGGCTCAGCGAAGTGGGCATGGGTCTACTATGTAAGACCAGAAAACCACCCAGCTAACTATGTTCCTCAGGAGGGCCCAGAGGACATTCCATTTACCAAAGCAAGACAGATGTTCTGAGGACCAGTTTGTCTGAGAAGCTCAGTACTGTCTGCTCCTGGCAGGCCAGCACTGATAGTAGAAGATACTGCTATGGGGGAGGGCTCAGTTAGCAAAAAAAAGTAGAACATGTGTATTATTTGCATAAAAATACAGTAATTTGATACAGAACCCTAACAATGATGCAAATATGTTCAGTTTGAGATACCCATTAGATTGAGGAGGTGTCTGGGCTAGAGATAAAAATTCTGGAGTCATCTGCATATGTTGTTGGTGTTAGTTGCTATCAAATAGATTCCAACTCTTGAGAACCCCATGTGTGCAGAGTAGAACTGCTCCATATGGTTTTCAAAGCTGTGACCTTTTGGAAGCAGATTGCCAGGCCTGTCTTCCAAGGTACCTCTGGGTGGGTTTGGATATAGTCCATTTGTGCCACCCAGGGACTCCATCTGCCTATAGATTATATTTAATGTCGTGACACCAAATTAAATCACCAAAAGACAGAATGTAGATAGAGAAGCCCACGGGCCAAGCTTCTGGTACTTTAGAGGTCTAGCTAATGAAGTAGTAGCAAAGGAGACTGAGAAGAAGCAGCCAGTGAGTTAGGAGAAAAACCAGTGTGGGGCCTGGAAACCAAGTGGAGAAATTTTTTCAGCAGGAAGGGAGTGATCTCTGTGCCAGCTAATAGGTCACTTAAGGTGAGAACTGAGAATTGACTGTTCAGTTTAGTAATATGGAAGTCATTGGTGACTTTGACATGAGCAATTTCAGGGAGTTAGAGTGAAAAACCTGATTTAAGAAGGTTCAAGAGAGAATAGGAGGAAAAGAATTGGAGACCGCAAATATAGACAACTTTCAAGGAGTTTTACTGTAGAGGGAAGCAAATAAACAAAGTGGTAGCTGGAGAGGGCTGTGGTCAAAAGAGGATTTTTTTTTTTTTTTTAATATTAGATAAATTACAAAATGTGCATATGCTGATGAGAATGATCTAATAAAGAGAAAACACAATGCAGGATAGAGGAGAGAATTGCTAGAACATGTCTTTGAATATATGAGGGGTTAGGATTTAGTTCTCAAGTGATGAGACTTTAGATGAATGGATGGTTCATCCATTGTAACAGGAGGGAAGACAAGAGATGATAGGCACAGTTGCAGGCAGGTGGGTAGATGTGGCTGGTGACTAACAGAAATAGTGTAATAGAGTAAGGATGAGGGGGAAAGGATGAGCTAGTCATCTGGGAGTGAATGGACTAGAGAGAAATGTGTTACATTTGTCATATAACACTAAAGACTCTCATAGGTTAGTGTCCATGAACTTAAAGAGAGAACAGTCAACTTAGTTTTGTTTCTCTGTCCAGCTGCATAGGTGCAGGCCTAGAGTAAGCAGATTGGGTTTACCCAGAGCTAGATTTTGCCAGGTGACTTTGAGGAAGTGAGAGAAGGGCAAAGGAGTGAATTGAAATTGGCTTAAGAGAGAAGTGAGGACACAGGAGTGGTAAGGGACAGCGAAAAGATGGTTGGATCAATGGATATCAGTCCCAGATGGAAGAATTGTCGGGGTTAAGGTATTAGAGGGAGCGAACTGAAAAGTAGTAGGTGGGGGTCCTAGAATGAAATCCTTGCTTGAGATTATAAAAGGGTTTTAGTCATGACCAGGTACAAGCTGTCAGTGAAGGAGTGGAGGTCGAAGAACTGTAAGGGCAGGGTATTGGAAGGATTACCTCTGTGGATGCTGAGTTTGTATTTAGAACTTTGGAGTCCTTTTCTATTAACATCTGCTAGACTATCGCCTAACAGTTTTAGTCTCCTTCCTTAGTAAGAGTTCCATGCCCTCTTTCATAGTTTCTGATTCTTAGTCCTTGGTGCTCTGAGAGATTTCCTTGATGTTATCTTCCATCTCTTGTATTGCATTTTTAACTTCAGTCATTATATTTCTAATTTCCAAGCATTCTTTCTTCTGATTGTTAATTTTTCATAGTATCCTTTGCTGGGAGAAGAAATTAGTTTTTTTCTTTTTTTGGTTTGAACAAACAAATTTATTCTCTCACATTCTAGGAGGCTAGAATTCAGGGTGCCAGATCCGAGGGAAGGCTTTCCCTCACTGTCGATTCTGGGGAAAGGTCCTTGTCATCAGTCTTCCCCTGGTCTAGGAGCTTGTCAGTGCAAGGTCCCTGGGTCCAAAGGACATGCTGTACTCCCAGTGCTTTTTTCTTGGTGGCATGAAGTCCTCAAAAATTAGTTTTTGATGATCTACATGATATGTTGAAATACATGTAGCTCCCACATCAGAATATGGTTATTTTCCTCCATTACATTCATATCTGCATTCAGGTATTATATCTTTATATATGATTTTTTTTTTCTAAGTTACAAAGTATGTTGTGTCATGTAGTTAACTTTTAAATATCTTTTCATTTTAGGTGTCAAAGAATAAAAATGGAAAAGAGCAAAGTGAAACTGTATCACCATCTGAAGATGAAACATTCTCCTGGCCAGGTCCCAAAACAGTTACGTTGAAAAGAACATCTCAAGGCTTTGGTTTTACATTAAGACATTTTATCGTTTATCCCCCAGAGTCTGCAATTCAATTTTCATATAAGGTAAGAGAAGTAATTAAAGTAACATAAAAAAAGGCAATTTCTATCTCCTTCTAGTCCTATTCTTAACGTTCTTCTCTCGCCTATTTTCTGCCTTAAAATAATGGTGTCAAGTTTGCGTTTTTACTATATTGTTTTTCTTTTCTTGGATATTTTTCTACTTTTTAGAACAAAGACATTCATCTTTGGCAGGTCATACTGATTTTGAGCTCTAAATATATTTTTCTAGGATCTCTAATTTCAGACTTCGTTATACTTGTTCTTCTAACATGCAGTTGTTTTTCTTCTGTCTACAAAGGTGGTGAGTTTTCTTGGCAGAGTATGTAGAGGAAAAAGCTCGTTAAGATATTCTCACAGTTCTGAAAGATATGGAGATTAAAACAATGCTTAACTTTTAGGTATGTAGTATGATAGCAATCCAGACTGTAAAAACACAGCGTCTCGCTAGAGTGAATTACATGAATATGCTTCAGTGCATAGAACCACAATCTAATAAGGGGCTGCACGGAATAATTGTAATTGTAGCTGACACATTGAGTACCTACTCTGTGTTCTTTACTATTCTTTGTGAGCAGTATCTCACTTAATTCACACAAAAATCCTATGGAGCAGGAAGTATTATCAGCCCCATATGAAAGATGTGGAAACTGATCTGGGTCACATAATGGATAAGTGGTGAACCTGGGATTTGTACTTGGTTAACATGAATGTGTGATGCTTAACTATTACGCAGGAGTGTAATGAAAGGAACAATATTCAGAAGAGCTGTTGGACCTTGGCCAAGCCACTTCTTTTTACCTCCAGTTTTCCATCTTAATTTGAGGGAACTGGACTAGAAGATTAGAACCCATACCTGTTGCAGTTGAGTCCATTCTGACGAATAGCAACCCTATAGGGCAGAGTAAAACTGTCCCATAAAGTCCTTTCTAATTCTAAGTATCTTTAAATCTAAAACTGTCTTTCAAAAAGTAGTGTCAAATTGTTTTGGAGACCACACTATTTTTATTATACCTTTGTTAATATAAGCTTTTCTAAGTACTGAATAGTTTTTAAGAATTTTGGGTAAGTGGTACCTGTCTTGGTCATCTAGTGCTGCTATAACAAATACCACAAGCAGATTGCTTTAACAAAGAGATATTTATCCTCTCACAGTCTAGTAGGCTACAAGTCCAAATTTAGAGCTCCAGCTCTCGGGGAAGGCTTTCTCTGTTGGTTCTGGAGGAAGGTCCTTGTCCAGTCTTCCCTTAGTCTAGGAGCTTCTCTGTGCGGGAACCTCAGGTCCAAAGGATGCACTCTGCTCCCAGCACTGCTTTCTTGGTGATATGAGGTCCCTATGTCTCCCTGGTTGCTTCTGTCTTTTATATCTCAAAAGAGATTGGCTTAAAACGCAGCCTAATCTTATAGATTGAGTCCTGCCCAATTAACATAACTGCCACTCATCCCACTTCGTTAACATCACAGAGATAAGATTTACAACACATAGGAAAATAACATGAGATGTCAAAATGGTGGACAGTCATACAGTACTGGGAATCATGGTGTAGCCAAATTGATACACATTTTTGAGGGATACAATTGAATCCATAACATTCCACCCTTTGGCCCCCCAAAATTCACATCCTTGCCACACGTAAAACAGTCACCCATCATACCATAGCAAAAGTCTTAAATCAACTCCAAGTCCAAAATCCAAAAACTCCTCTTCATCTGTGAAATCAAGAATACAAGTTACCTGTTTCCAAAGTAAATGTGGAACAGGCACATGCTAGACATTTCCATTACAAATGGGAGACATTGAAGGGAAAGAAGGCATAACAATCACCAAGCAAGTCAGCAGAATACATTACATGAGCCCTTTCAAGCTTGAAAATAATCCTCTGTTCCCTGAGACCTTTTAGACAATGGCCCTGCCCTCTAGACTCTAGGTATTGGCCACACTGTCCAGATTCTGAGTGAGGCCCCACAGTCCTGGGCTTCAGCTCTGCCTTCCAGGCCCACTGGAATGGCAACTCTGCTCCCGCAGCTTTGGGCGGCCCCATTCTCCTAGTTCATCTGATTGGCAACTCAACCCTTTGAGACCCCAGAGGTCATGGCCCTGCCCTTTGAGACTGAGACAGCTCTGCTTCCTATGCTCCTTGTCTCTTCAGCTTCTGCTTTCTGGTTCCTTGGCTTCTGGGTCCCTCGGGCCTTACCACCCGTGTCTGCCCTGCTGGGGCAAGTGTTCCAAAGCTCTGTAGTTCTATCGCTAAGTGCCTGGAGGTGCCCTACTCTTCCAGTAAACTTCAGCTGAAGGCACTCAGCTCTCTTGTTCCTTTGGGTGGCAAGCCTAGCTCCACTGGTCAGTGCTCAGAGGCACCCCACTGCACCAGGAAGCCTCCTGCACAAAGACACTCAGTTCTCTCACTCCGTAGGTTGACTCCAGTGCCGTTTCATGCTGGTCTCCTGGTTCTGCTGCGGCTGGTCCTGTGCTGCTGCTTCTTGCCGTCCATGCTGTCTCCAGTGTAACAGCTCTCCTCCCTTCCTTCCTTCCTTCCTCACCAAAATTGTCTGACGTCCATAATTCCACCAATAGTCTCTTCAAGGCATCCGCTTCCACATTTTAGGTATCTGTTAGAGCAGCACCCTACTCCTGGTACCAAACTCTTAGTTGAAATTAAAATTTTATTAGTTTGAGTTTCCTGAAAATGTCTATGAAACTGCTGAACTGAATTCCCTAAGACTATTATCTTAAAAGTCTAAAATAGCATTGCTTTTCTATTAGGTCGTATATGAGATTGCTTGATAATTTGAGTCTCCTTGCTTTAATTTACTTTTGAGGACTTAATTTTTTTGTTTTGTTTTTAATCTGAGCTTTGGATCATGATTAACAGATAGATAGTATAATTTTACCAAACACAGGTAAAAAAATATTATTATTGGAAAGTATTTTCTAGAAATTTAAGTTGCTATTAGCTGCCATCCAGTCAGCCCTGTGACTCATGGTGACCCCATGAACAGTGGAACAAATCATTGCCCATGACTGGTTATGGCTTGGACCATTATGATCCACAGGGTTTTCACTGGCCTTACTTCCTAGAAGTTTTAGTAGCACAGCATACAGCATAATTGTTAACAGTATAGTCATTGGAGTCAGAAGAGCCTGGGTTAACTCTGCCCCTAGTTAGCTCTGTGACATTGAGTGAGTCACTTAACAGACAGTAGCAGCACCTTCCTCACAGGTCATTGTGATGATTAAATGATATAGTACATGTAAAACATACAGCACAAGAATTAATATATAGCAATTTTGTGGTAGATTTTAGCTGTTAATTGCACCAGTACTACTCAAACTATTTCAGAACAGAGAAAAGGAAGGGATACTTCCGAGTTCATTCTATGAAGCCAGCATAACCCTACTACTAAAGCCAGATAAAGACACCACCAAAAAAAGAAAATTACAGACCAATATCTCTCAAGAATATAGATGCAGAAATTCTCAACAGAATTCTAGCCAATGTAATTTAGGACCATATAAAAAAAGTAATACACTACAACCAAGTGGGATTCATACAAAGTATGCAAGGATGGTTCAACATTAGAAAATCAATCAATGTAATCCACCACATAAATAAAAGGATCACATGATCATCTAAATCCACACAGAAAAGGCATTCAATAAAGTCCAACACACATTCCTGATAAAAACTCTCAATAAGATAAGAATAGAAGGGAAATTCCTCAGCACAATAAAAGGTATCTATACAAAACCAACAGCCAACATCATTCTTAATGGAGAGAGGCTGAAAACATTCCCCTTGAGAACAAGAACAGGGATGCCCTTTATCACCACTCTTGTTTAACATTGTGCTGGAAGTCCTAGCTAGAGCAATAAGGCAAGAAAAAGAAATACAGGACATCCAAATTGGTAAGGAAGAAGTAAAACTGTCCTTATTCATGGATGATATGATACTATACATAGAGAACCCAAAAGACTCCACAAGAAAACTGCTGGAACTAACAAACAGATTCAGCAGAGTAGCAGGATACAAGATAAACATACAAAAATCAGTTGGATTCCTATACATCAATAAAGAGAACTACAAAAAGGAAATAAGGAAAGCAATACCATTTATAATAACCCCTGAAAAAAAAAAAAAAGGAATAAATCTAACCAGGGATGTAAAAGACCTATACAAAGAAAACTACAAAACACTACTGCAAGAAACCAAAAGAGACCTACATAAATGGAAAAACATACCATGCTCATGGATAGGTAGACTCAACATTGTGAAAATGACAGTTCTACCCAAAGCAATCTACAAATACAATGCAATCCCAATCCAAAAACCAACAACATTCTTTAATGAGATGGAAAAACGAATCATTTACTTTATACTGAAAGGAAAGAGACCCCGGATAAGTAAAGCATTACTGAAGAAGAACAACAATGTAGGAAGCCTAGCACTACCTGACCGCAGAACCTACTATACAACTGTGCTAGTCAAAACAGCCCGGTACTGGGACAACTACAGACATATTGACCAATTGAACAGAATCAAGAACCCAGATGTAAATCCGTCTACCTACGGCCACCTGATCTTTGACAAAGGCCCAAAGTCCATTAAACAGGGAAAAAACAGTCATTTTAACAAATGGTGCTGGCAAAACTGGATGTCCATCTGTAAAAAAATGAAACAGGACCCCATACCTCACACCATACACAAAAACTAATTCAAAATGGTTCAGAGACCTAAATATAAAAGCAAAAGCTCTGAAGATCATGGAAGAAAAAAATAGAGTCAACACCGAGGCCCTAATATACGGCATAAACAGCATATAAACTATAGTTAAAAATACACAAACACCAGAAGATAAGCTAGATAACTGGGATCTCCTAAAACTTAAACATTTATGCTCATCAAAAGACTTCACCAAAAGAGTAAAAAGAGAACCTACAGACTGGGAAAAAATTTTGGGCTATGACGTATCTGACAAAGGTCTAATCTCTAAAGCCTGTAGGAAAA